GGAGTTGGTGAGATGCTGGATGAGAGCTGTCCCAGGCACAGCAGTGGCTAATGTGATCTGTGAGGCCAGAGCAGGCCCCGTCCCCAGCTCACTCACAGCACTCTGACCCAAACACATGGGCGCACTGAGGCCGTTCTGAGATGCACGTGACACAGGGCAATCTTCAGGTTGCAGCTGCATCTCCATGGAAGGGTCCTTTGTGTGAACAGAGAAGCATGCAGAATTCCCCCAGGAGCTTCCTGGCCCCCGCAGTTTGCCACCTCCAGTCAGCAAGCCCTGCTGCCGGGACAGTGGCAAGCACTAGCGAAAGGGTCAGAGTGGATGCCGGACGGTTTTCGTTTAGGTTCCACATTTACAGTACCATGAAATGTCGGTTGCTTGACAACAGCTGTTCTTCTCTTCCACAGTTAATGAAGGGAGAGCTGATTTCAGTGAGGTCGGGCTGTGGCTGTTCGAAAACTGTATCTTGATTTAGAAACCAGGCCCTGTGCCACCACCATGTGGTGATGGGTGGGGAGAATTGCAGGGACCTGCCACCCCTCCTAGGGCCGTATCGTTAGACCTGTAATAACAGTGTCGTGCAAAGAGGGACGTTCAGCTACGCAGACGGTAACTTGGTTATGTGCAGTATTTTGAGAGTGGTTGTGCAGGTCATTTTTTCCAGGTCGAAATAAAGTAAGAGAGAGGGGACTAACTGAAGTGGTCCTTGCCGAGGTGGTGCTCACCTGGGCATCTGTCTGGGATAGAAGAGGGAAGTAGATACGAAAGGTGTGAGGGCGAGAAGCTTATTCTGCCTTTGGCACCTGGCTCATGGGAAGTACTTTTCAGACGGTAGGTGGTTGGGTGGAGGAGACTGGAAGACAACACAGTGTGCTCTGAAGAACGCTGCACTTGGGGTCCAGAAGGCAAGGCTGGGAGTTCCAGTTCCGTTACTTCCAAACTGTGTGACCTTCGGCTTGTCTTTTGCTTCTAGCCAGTTTCTTCACCTAGAAACAAGAGTCACAGACCCAGGACCCCTCTACTTTCTGTGTTCAGGGATCCTGTGATGCCACTGTTTACCAAGGAAGTGAAATGATGTGGTTTTCTGTGAGGAAGCAGTCTGTTAGATTGAAAAATGTAGAAGGAAAACCAACAGTCACTTCTCTCATGAGGTTCTCTGAAAGCCCACTGTATCCTTTCCTATCGCTATTGGAACTACTTAGCACCAGCTTGGTGTGGCTTCCACAGTGTAGCTTGGTTACCATACAATTCTGTAGGTTGGAAGTCCCACATAGTTTCCCTGAGCTAAAATCGAGGTTTCCCCCAATGTTCTTTCTGGGGGTCCTGGGCAAGAAGTCATTTCCTTTTCCAACACCAGGAGGCTGCCCACATTGCGTGCCTTGCGGCCTCTTCCTTCCTCCATCTTCAAAGTCAGCACTGTTGCGTCTCTGACTGTCACAGGAAGCAGCTCTGTGCTTTTGTGGGCCCGTCTGTATAAAGCCACTGTGAGTCGGAATGGAGTCATTGATCGGGGGGTTGTGTGGTTTGTATGCACTCAGTCACATCTGCGGACTCCCTCTATGCAAGATCACAAATGCTGGGGACTCGAGTGGGCTTCTTTGGAGGACCGTGCTGCGTGCCGCACCCCATCTACAGATTGGTCTGTAGGGAACAGAGGCATGAGGAGTGCTAACCTGCCCCCAGGAGACCTGGAGTCCTCGCCCAGCCAGGCACTGCATGTCTCTGGGTTTTGGCTTTGCTCGTCTGCAAAGCTGAGCTGTAGCAGGGCTTCTCCAGCTGCAGCGTGCTTCCTGATTGCCTGGGAGGCCCGGTCACCACAGAGGGGGCCTGAGCGGCTGCACCACAGGCAGGTTCTCAGGATGCTGCTCCTGTACGTCCAGGGGCCACACTGAGAGCCACAGCGCTAGACCCCCTCCAAGGTCCGTCCTTGATCAAAGCCCCTTCAGATGCAAGTCAGATGTTGTCAGTTGTGCATTACTTTCTTGGTGTCGCATCCTCTCTGGTGAGTAGTGAGTGCTCTCTTCATGAAGAAGATGGGGCACGTGGTCTGTGGCAGATTCAGAGCAGGGAGCTCTCCGTACTGAGGCAGCAGGGACCAGAGGGTTCAGATCTGCACTCCGGCCCTTCTTCACCTTTGCGCTGCTCCTCCTATCTGTAACCGGGGGGTGGTAGCAATGCCTGCGCGGAGGGTGGTTAGTCTTGGGATCGCCTGTGTAGAGCAGCTGGCGTGTGTCTGACACATGGTCATCATAGGTCACATATCTAGGACACCCTTGGTCTAGGCACTTTTGGCAGCCTGTGTGGAGACATTTAACCTTCATCATACCTCCAAGTCTCATGTTGCTTTTATTAGCCCCATGTTGACAGGTTGAAGAACCAGAGGAAGGAATTTGGCCAAAATCCCGCTGCCAGAAAGTGGTAGAATCTCTTACCAGGCAGGTAGTAGGTTCCAGAGCCCAGACTCTTAACTGTTACCCAGCAGTGCCACAGCTGCTGGACCCCTTCTGTATCAGCAAGGAAAATGTTTCTTCTCCTATAACATGAAGTCTGGAGGCCAGTGGTCCTGGGGCTACCAGTGTTCGGAGAGTCATGAGGTCCAAGTTCTCACAGCGTCCTCAGCAGGTTGGCTTTGTCTACAGAGCTGTCCCTTGTGGTAATAAGATGGTGTCCGCAGCTCCCGCCATCCTGTTCTCACACAGGCTGAGTGAGAAGCAGATGCCCTGTTCCTCATCTGTGGCTTCTGAGATGGTCCGAACTTTGTCAGAAGCCCCTTCCCCTGCAGACTTCCCTTCCAGGAACGTCTGGCACACCCACTCCTGAAAGCCCACCACGGGTGGGCTCAGGGAGACTCGGGTGGTCTTACGACTTGGCAGGGTGTCCCACAGGCACAGACACAGACTGGCTGTCAGCACCCAGAAAGAAGGTTGTCGGTCTTCCAAGAAGAAAAACCTTTTCTTTGTGTTTTCGGTGAAAGCTTACACAGCAAATTAGAGTCCCATGTAATAATTTCTACACATACTGTTCTCTGACATTAATTACCTTTTTTAAGAAAAACCTTCTGGAGGGGGCTGAGGGGGCAGCCTAAACGTCGGGCCTGGCCTGGGACAAGTTGCTTCCCTTCTGGAGCGTCAGGCACCTCATCTGTCAAGTTGGGCGGCTCTGAGGACTGAAAGGGTTAAGCCACGCCAGGCACATAGAGTGGGCCCTGTCCCTGCTGAGCCACATTAGGTCAGTGCCACCAACAGCTTCGGCGTCAGGGAAGCATGGCCCAGCTCCTTGTCGTCTAGTTCCTGCCTGCTGTGGTCAGAGGAGTCCACCCATGGCACCACCCAGGTCTGTGTCTGCCCTCACAGGTGGGTGCGAGCCCCGCGCACCCTCTCTGCACACTCACCCCGGCCTGCCTCTGTGGGGGAGGAGGAGAGCTGCCTGGGAAAGGTGTGCCTGGGTGGGAGGAGCCACCTTCTCACCAGCATCTGAATCTTTGCGCAGCCTCGGCCACCAGATGGCTGCACCCTTCCTCAGTAGGGTTACGTGGGTTACGTGGGCTTGGATGTTACCAGTGATGGTTGATGGGACCCGTGTCAAAGAGCAGACTTCGGTCTCCGTCTAAACTGAAGCAAAGAGCTTTACTGAAGGAATAGGACGACCTAGAGCAGGCCGCACTGCAGGAGGGTTCACAGCAGGACTCCAGCAAGAGGAGCACACCAGAAAGTCCAGAAATTTCTAAGGAAAAAAAATTCTGGTGGGTTGGAATGTGCAGAGTCAGGCTTGACAGACAGCAGACAATTCCAAGCTCCTGTAAGCATTGTTTGTCAGTCATAAAGTTTGAGTCAGTTAAAGTCTTGTTAATCTATGGATGCTTGGGGGCCAGCCTGAGTGCCTGTTCTTCCTAGGAGTACGTTGGGGAAGAGGGGAGCCCGCAGGCTTCCTGAGGTTTGCTGGCTAGCAGCCTTTGAAAGTCAGCTCTTAACAAGCAATAAACAGCAAAAATGGAGTCCAGCCTACAGCTTTGGCAGCAGCCTCTCCTTATGCCAAGCACCTAGATTTTTTAAAGCTCCTTCGCACACGTGTTTCTTATGCCAACAGGAGGAGCCCTCGTAGCAGCCTGGAAGGGATGCTAAGGACGTGCCCCACTTAGAAGCCCTGACCATATAAGGAGCAGCGGCGCAATTACAGGATAATTTCTCACTTAGCCAGAAATTCATGGCAGGTTTCCTAGTGCATTTAAAATAGGATTCAATGTATAAAAATACAGTTCTGCACACAGGAGCCATGTTTCCTGAAGAGGGAGGTTTACTTGTATTGGGCATTTAGGGTAAGTAGATCAAAAGTAAAAATAAAATCATCTTGCAAATATAAGAACTAGAAAGCAGATTCCACTTTTAATTCCGGAGGATTTATATATAACTCTACTATCTTACCCTCTCCTACCCAGCATACCACTGCAGAAATAACTAGACGAAGTCTGCAGGCAGCTCAGGACAGTGAGGGTGAGGCACCCATGGGGGGGCAGGAATGCAGGGGTAGGGGCCACCCTCTGGTGACCAGTCTGTGCTGCACAGGTGCAGAGCCTTGCCCTCGGGCACCACTGCACTACATGCTGCAGGATTGCTTCTTCCCAGAGCACCCAACCGGTTCGTTCTGGTTCAACCCCCTACTGAGAATTTGTTTACCCACCTCAGAACAACTGAGTCAGAATCTTCGTGTTTCCTGGGATGGATAGGCAAATTCCCAGCAGGGGCCAACAGCCAGGTAAACCAGTTTGAAGCCCTGGATCTGTCTGACTGAGATAAATGGGAAGCCTGGCCTTGAAAGTTGTTGCTGGATCTCGTCCACAGTGTGGCCAGTGTGTGGAGGTCAGAAACTGACTATGGCATGCTGCCACCACAACCTCCTGTAACCACGGAGACACGAGCTGAGGTCTGACTGATGGGGTCTGGGAAGAACCTCGCGGAGAAGGCGAGTCTGGGATACTGACGTGCCTGACTTCTTCCTTTCAGAAATGTTCCCACTGCCAGGAGGCAGGCGCCACCTTGGGCTGCTACAACAAAGGCTGCTCCTTCCGATACCATTACCCATGTGCCACTGACGCAGGTAAGGTGGGACCACAGCCTGGTCCGAGCATCCTCCAGGTTAGGGCACACGCCTTCATTCTCCCCTTTTTCCCTGGTGATAGTTCTTTTTCTCTCTCCTGACTCTGTTGTTCGTAAATTTTAAAGGAATATAAAAAGGAATTAAATGCGGTGATTTTTTTCTTTAACAACAGCTTTATTGAGATAAGATTCACATACCATACAGGTCACTTGTTTCAAGTTTACAGTTGAGTGGTTTTCAGTACATTCACAGAATTGTGCAGCCATCACCACAGTCAATTTGAGAATACTTTCGTCACCTCAGAAAAGTCACTCTCCTTGCCCTCCCCATCCCCCCAGCCCTAGGCAGACACTAATCTGCTTCTTGTCTTTTTGGATTTGGTTATTCTAGACACATCATTTAGATGAAATCATATAATACGTGATCTTGGGACTGGCTTCTTTCATTTACTATTACGTGTTTAAGGTTAATCCATATTGCCACATGTATTAGTATGTCAGTCCTTTTTATTGCAAACTAATATTCCTTTGTGGAGGTAGACTGGATCTTCTTTATCCATTCGTTGGTTGGTGGGCATTTAGGTTACTTCCTTTTTTTGGCTATGATGCTGCTGTAAACATTCACACACAAGTGTTTGTGAGGGCATGAATTCTCATCTCTCTTGGGTGTTTACCCAGAGTAGAGGTGCTGTGTTCTGTAGTAGCTCCATGTTTAACCTTTTGAGGAACTGCCCAATAATTTTCCAAAGTAGCTACATTTTGCATTCCCATCAGCAGTGTATATGATGGTTGTGATTTCTCTGTATCTTCACCAGTATTTCTTATTATCTTTCCTTTTTTATCGTGGTCACCCTGGTAGGTGTGAAGTGGTATCTCATTGTGGTTTTGATTTGCATTTCCCTGATGACTAATGATGCTGAGCATCTTTTTATGTGCTTATTGGCTATTTTTATGTATCGTGGGAGAAACACCTATTCAAATCCTTTGCCCTTTTTTTTTTTTTTTTTT